CTCTCTCTCTCTCTCTCTCTCTCTCTCTCTCTCTCTCTCTCTCTCTCTCTGTGTGTGTGTGTGTGTGTGTGCGCTTATTCTAACGTGGTTGTTTCAACTTGTTTGTGAAGGTAAGGTGATGCACGGAGACCAATCATGCAGATGCGACCTTATCTCTCATTTCGAGTTGGCGCATGGTTTCTTTGCCTGCACCAGTTTTTTTTGCCTTCAGGGTTTCAAAAGGGATAATTGGTTTTGGCCGCCCAAAGTTCGGTTGTTTGGTACTACCGGCCCAAATGTCTTCAGCCTGGATGAAAGGCCCCTTCGTGCTGTGGCCACAGCTCCCTTGGCCAGTATTTACCGGTTGATGACTTTGGTGCTGCTTTTGGGCCAGATTCATAAACTGGTAGGGCCCTTCTTTTTCAAAATACCGTAGGTGGCCCTTATTTTATCCTTCAGCTGTACCACCCTCGGCCTCTTCTATATCAAAATGAATCTGGCACAGTTTATGTGCCAGATTCATGATTCGGTAGGGCCTTGGAGGGACGCGTGGGCCTGTAGTACCCCAGATGGAAGACATTGGGCCGGTAGTACCAAACGGCTAAACTTTGGGCGGCCAGAACCGAAAAGGTTTTTTTTTTTTTTTGGAAAGCTTCAAAGACTTATAAAACAATGGGACGAGGCCGGGGACCTCACAATTCAACCCGGAGTTATCCTGGCAGCCTCAGCCAGTTTCTCTTATGAGCAAGACTCAAAGTCTCCCATCTGCTTACTGCACTATCCCGCCTCCTCCTGGAAACCGGGTCCAGTGTCCCATACAAAACCAATTATCAACTTTCCAAAAGATAAACTTGAAGCTCGTTAAAAAGGGCAGCACTTGTCAGCTGAGGAAACTCATCCCTGTGCTATCTATCCCTGKTAACAACTCTGCACCTCAGTGGGATTGAGTCCTTGAGCCAAAGGATTGGTCACTGTTCCTGGATTATCATTTGAGGCTCAGTTTACCAACAACGGCTAGAATGTCTCCCTAGGACCTAACTGCGGTCCTCATTAGTCATATGTATCCGAAAGCCACGGGCAGACGGCAAAACGACCTTCACGGTCTATCGTAGCCATTCTGCTGTCCAGCGCCCAGGTTTTCCCAAACCAGATGAAATTCTTCCGCTTCCAGTCTGCATGAATAATTCTTCTTAACGACTGCTTAACTTGTCTATGCTGTTGGAGAGCAGTTACATGTTCCCCCTTGAAGACCTTGGCATTACGGGCCGCCCAGATGGTCTCCATCAGAACTCCTCTGCAACAGAGGGCCACATATCCCCAACCCGAGGAGTAGTTTCCTTCTGCAGGCTGTATACCCGTAAGCATCCATCCATCCACCCATCCCCACCTTTTACCCACTATCCTGTCCCAGTTAGTCCTCCACCACCCCAACAACTCTTTCACCAAAGGGCAATCTGTCCAGAGGTGTTTCATGTTTTCCCATCCCCAGTTACACCGCCGGCAATGTGTGGACAACTCCATTCCCTTGGCTGCCAACCAAGTTGCTGTTGACCATCAGGGATTGGACCCACATTATGCTTGCGTGTTTCTGGGCCGGGAGGCTACCAAGAGCCTTCCATAGCTTACCTAGTCCTTGCTCAGAAACACCTTCCACCTGTTGTGCTATTGCGCGTGATACTGCCAGGTAGACAGCCTTTTTCTTCATTTGCCCCTGCAGCAGCCGAGCTCCCACTTTTGGCCGATACTGGGCCAATGGTATGGGGCACTCCCCACTATCCTGTAACCTCCATCCGCTTAGAAGTGGTTCCACCCGAACCTGCTCCGCATCGCCTATCAGGGTCGCCACTGCCTTCCCGTTCCTGATGCTGTGATAAAGTACTCTTGTTTCCACCATTCCTTCTGAGTCGCTGATCCTGCAGTCCTTATCCTCCAGTATTAGCTTCCCTCCCATGTCTGACCTCTGTAGTCTCCACCGCTCTACTCTGATAGCCGTGGAGAGGTCTGGACCAAGGACCCGGACTACTCGTTCCGGATCACTAGTCTCTCGAAGCCAGGTGCCCGCTGCATGCTCAGATTCCGGTTGAAGCAGGTTAACCCAGTCGTTGGGGATAGCCGCCATAAGCTCTGCATAGTGATCTTGGACATTGTGTAGTTGAGGTAGCCTGCATCTCAGCTGTGCTGGCTCCAAAAAAACCCCTCTGTCTATATTCCAAATGTCTTTAATCTGTAGGATCCCTCGCCGTATCCAACTAAGTCCAAAGTTGCCTCGTGATTCCATGGCCGAAAAGCTTTGCCCGTCTGGCTGTCGAATCCCTGGATTTTCGAAGAGAACCTGGTTCAAAACCTCTTGTTTAGATGTGGGGGGAAGGTTCTCTGTTGGACGAACTTTATTCCAAGCTTCAAGAATATTCCTCCAAGTTCTGGACTTGGGCCGGCGGCTGCTAAAGGAAGGTAGCTGCAAGCAGACCCAGACCCTTGAAGGGTCGTGCAGTTCCCATTCAGTACCTAGGATGTATTCCGCCAACTGCATCCAAATTCTTGTTTCTGATTCCACCATCGCTTGAGCTGGCCACTTGGCCAACAGCGCCGTGTTCTGCTGGAGCAGATCGAGAATGCCGAGCCCCCCCTTCTTTCTTGAAGTTGCCACCACTTCCCACGCCACCTTTGGGATAAGACCCTGGTCTTCATCAGCATTCGGCTTCCACAGGTACCGCGCGGCTGCTTGCCTTATTCTTCTGTAGGCAGCTACTCCCAGAGCATGTATGGACAGTGGGAACCAAAGCAGGGAGAATGCTGATGTTGACAAGACCAATGCTCGCCCAAGGAGAGACAGGCGAGTGCGGCGCTCCCAGCCTGCGATCCGTGCCACCACTTTGTCGGCTAGGAGGTTGTCTTGAGTTGTGGAGCAATCTGAAAAAGAAACCTGA